CTAGTCCTCTCGGACCTAGACTAGCTACTACCGTATGTGGCCTGTTCTCTCTCTCCTAGCTAGTCTGGCGACTCAGACTGCCTCTGTGTGGTCGTAGATGTCACTAGTGGGGACTTCGGCTTGGCGGGAGAGAGTACCAATCAAACTATTAAGAGTGAATATCGGCCGATAATGATCAGCGGCAATCGATCGGAGCATCCCTAATTATTACCGGACATTTTAACCGGCAGGTTTTGAATTTACCGTTTTTTAATACATTTTACCATCTAAAAAACGATAATTACCGGCTAACGGAAACCCTGCTCCAGACATGTATGCATATTATCACATATTAAGCAAGATAATCAACAGGTGAAGTTCATTAATTTTGCCATACTCATCTGAAGTGTGAAGATGCATCAGTTGAAGGGGGTGATTTTATAAATGAGAGAATCACTTCAGAAAAAGCTAGAACCGACTCAAGCCTGTGTGACTCCTCCTGCGCTGTCTGAGGTCGGAGCGGGAATGTTTGTTCAAGAAATCTGACACTTCACTGCCAGATTGAGGACTTGTATTATCTGGATGTGTGTGCTTTTGCAAACAAGAACATATTTTAAAATGAACATTAATACTGATATTTAAAATGGAAAACAGAGAGTGAGAGGGTTGAGGCAGAAAGTGACCGAATACGATAGGAAGTGGCCGAGCATAAAAACTAATGTTGAACATAAATCTTGAGCCTGGACCAAAGGAAAACTGAAACAGCCAATTCTAAACCCAGCAGCAGGCAAAGAAAAGTAATACATTATGTCATAATTTGCATCAGCCAATGTCCTGACAGGTTGGCTCTTTCTTCAAAGGGAGCTGAGGTGTGTTGGATTTGTGTTCTTTGAAGTCCACAGCGCTGTCACGAAGCAACAAAGAGATCCCCCCCGTTCATTCAGCTATTCTCATTTATCCTTCTGTCTCATTTTTCTGCTTTTTTCTTCATGGTCCAGTCGGCACGTGCACACTGCTCTTCAACCTGGTCTCCTCCCTAGCCATGTTCTGTGTGGACCCCTCGGGGGGAGTTGGCCTGGGACTAGCCATCCTTTGGGCCCTCCTATTCACCCCATGCTCCTTCGTCTGTTGGTACAGACCCATGTACAAAGCATTCAGGTTTGTACCACCATCCACATGAAAAAGCCCAACAAAATAAAAAACAAGCTAGCCCAACGCAGATTTTTTTTTTTAATTGATAATTCGGTCTGTAAAATTATAATAAAATAAAAAATGTGAATCCAAGTTTCACAAAATCCTAGGTAATGTTTTCGAATGTCTTGTGTTGTCAGTTCAAAACCCAGGAATATCAACTGTAATACCTCATAAAACAACAATGTCTTGTGATTACCCTGACCAAAGTATTTGAAATTCATTTAAAATGGCACTTCATTCTAATGGAATCACTTTAATTTTTGTTCAGTTAAGAAACAAATATTCTTTGTTGCATCACAGATAGGACCCTTATTTTTGTGTGAAAATCCTTTTAAAATATTAAAACAAGCTCTATGTTTCACTTCTCTTTCTGTGACTTTTGTCCTCTAGGAGTGACAGCTCCTTCAATTTCTTCGTCTTCTTCTTTATTTTCTTCGCCCAAGTGGTCACCAACGTCATCATGACTATTGGTATCCCTGGATGGGGTTTCAGGTATACTTAAGCATTTCTGTGTTGTACAGACACATGGCTCCTTTCAGTTTCTGTCCTCTGTTCATTACTCTGTCTCACTGTCTCTTCTCCTCAGCGGATGGATCGTGAGCCTGGCTGCTCTAAAGACCAGTGTCCCCGTTGGTGCGATCATGATGCTCAATGCCGTCTGCTTCACTGCCCAAACCGCCATGGGGGTCGTCATGCTGCAGAAGGTGATAACGGAATATAACACATTTTACATGCAGTGAAAATAAACGGCTAGTGACACAAATGTAGGTTTTACTTTTGACACTAAGTACAGATTTGAAAACTCACACACAACTCGTTTAATATAATACAAGTCTTATTTATCCTGTCGTATGCTCACTACTTATCAATTACATGCAAAAGCTTACAATTTAAAAACCTTGCGAAATGTTTTATTGAGCACTCATTCTGTGTGGTAAATTCTAGGGAAAAATATGGAAATTAGATTTGATAAATGCAACATTTGAAATCCATATTTTTTAAACATAAATGCAGCACAATTATAATATATTTATTAATGTAAATTACTACAAATTAATAAGCGGAAGGACAAGTAGGTCTAGGTAAAAAAATACTTAAATAATAAATGCTTTCATCAGGCTACAAACTACTGTTAGACAATTTGCACTATATATCTCTCGTGGAAATACTTGCACCCATTGTACCCAGGTGGTCCACCTGTCATGCAGCAGTCAGCAGATAACAAACAGTCTGAAGAATAGCCTCCATATCAGGTTCTGCGGATCATTTTCCGCCTCGCAATGTGCATGATATGAGGATGAATTGCTTCATGTATCGGGTGTCAGCGTGCTATTGCTCTTCCCCTCTTTAGATCCACAGTCAGTACAGGCAGACCGATGCCAGCTTCCAGAAGGCCCAAGCCGAGTTCGCCACCGGAGTCATGTCCAATCAGGCGGTACGCCAGGCCGCCACCACAGCTGCAACCAGCGCTGCCCAGGGGGCCTTCAACGCACCTCGATAGAGAGGCACGAGAGGGGCTGGGAGGGTGAGAAGGAGAGCCCTCTCAGCTCGATACAGATCTCTTTGGTATTTATTTCCCCACAGGTTATTAGAATTGGTCTGTATAATTACCCCTGAGCATCTGGACTTCAGGGCTCATGCATGAGACAGGTGGGGTTCTCTAAGTTCAAAGGGTGTACAGGACAAGTTAGCTACATTGCCAAACTAGGAGTCAACAAATGTGTTGTGTTGATTGTTGGAACGGAAAGATGATACGAAATGTGAAAAAAAATAAAGGCTGAAGCTCTATGAAACGTTAATGCAGGGAACATGCTTTTTTATGGAAGGACCAGCTGTGTGCCATGTAGGACAGTGTAAGCCTGGATAGTTGCCATTTTAAATGAACTGGATGTACATTGTGTTTACAAGGAGCCATGTTTGGGTTGGAGCTGACCCCTGATATAATGCCATTCTAACAACTAATTTCCCTGTTGCTTATGTGTAAATTAACATGTTTTGTTATTATTCCAAATAAGAATGCCTATTTACCTGTTTGCCAAATCCTGTCATACTGGAAAGATTATGAACTTGTGTTGTTTTGGTTTAAAAAATATCTGTCACTGTTCTGTTGGTGCTGCTTGTGGTTTTACGATTATTATTACATGTTACTGTCTTGGTTTTAATAAAAATATATTGTCATGCTTACTCATAACATACACTACCCTAAGTTATTATTGCCTTATCTAATTTACATTTACATTATACGTTATAAACAGGATTATATGCCAGTACGCCTATTGGGGTCAGGCATAAGGGAAATAAACCAGAATAGCAAGACATTTAATTTATTTTGCATTTGGAGATCGAAGTTGTAGGCTAATGTTCGCACATAAACATTCCAAATGTTGATATTTTTTTCTCAAAATATATAGCAACATATTTTTTGTATGCCTGTCACAGAGTTCGACTTTTCAACAACATTTTCCCTTTATTCTCGACATGTTGACATTATTCTGAAATAACAAGTGATGCTTTTCCTACTCTCATTCCCCTCCTTATGCTTGACCCTAATAAACTTCAAGGTTCAAGGCTTTTATTATTAGTACTGTAGTACTCATACGTACATAGCTACGACGATGAAAATCTTTGGTCACAGGCTTTTTGATATTGTATTTATGTTTTCAATCGGTCAAACAGACCTTTTTAAGCAAGTTTAGCATGTTAGCTCACACCTTAACTGACATGTTGTCACTGAATTTGCGTTGCTAGGAGACTGCTTGTTAGTAGTAGCAGTAAAAGTCAGTTAAATTAAAAAAGGTTTAACCCATTTGTTGTTTTTAAGAAGAGAACACGCATTCAACTACACCATGTGTTATTCTCTGGCGACACCCAACACACTTTAAGGAAACTACACCCGTGATACAACAACTTGTTGCTCTTAAAGCTCTTGGCTTGTTTAGGCATCGTTGCAGGAGAAAGGTAAGCCCGATTTACTAAACCACAGATGAATATTTTTATCTTTTGCAAATATTTCTTTGATAAACATGACAATGTGTGCTGGCTGCTCGGTAAAGATATTAATGTGCCATCTGCAGCCTTCCTTCTGACGGGGACCCTCAGTGACCCGTCGGACAGCCGTGAGTGTGGGACTTTTATGGGCTTCCACACCGACGTCAGGCACCTCGCGTTATCGTGAAGATGGCGGAGGCTGCGGAGACACCACAACACCGTTTTTTCTGTCACTGCTGTAAAAGTGAAACAAAGCCCAAACTCCCGGTGAGTCACTTTGAAGAGTGTCTTTATTCCAAGGTTTCTGGTGCGGATCATTCACGCGGCCATCGAGGGACGGATTAGCATTTTAAAAGCTCTTTCTCTTTTAGACTTGTTCAGTTTACTAATATATGTGTTCCCATCACAATTTGTATGATTGGAATAACAAAAGTACACACATGACAGCCTGTTGGTGGTTGTTTATGTGTGTAAAGCATGCGCCAGGATCTTACATTAGAGAGAGAGGGATTGAAATCTGGTGATTCACGTTGCCATATTTAGCAGCACCACTGTTGGCAACTCTCTGTGTCCAGTTGTCTTCTGTCAACTGCGAGAGAGAGGTAGGAGGGGCTGTGTGGGAGTTTCCACATGCACCAGGAGCGCTTTCCCCTTACTGTTACATACCACAGAGCCGCAAATAGGTGGTGCCTTTAACCCCTGCACCCGGTTTGTTTTGTCCCCTTTTGTCTCACTAAAACCCGTCTGAGAAACACAACTTTACTTGAACTGACTTAGTTGGAGATTTATTTAATTTATTAAGTCGGAGGAAATCTCCATTGAGTGCATGTGTTGCATAGATGGCACAATTACGCACGTGTGTTTGTGTTTATATGCCTAAATAGCCAAAAGTTTATGGTGACCCCTATGCACATGAATTTGTATGCTATAAATTAATGATACTTTTTGGCATAGGGTAAAAGAGATTATATGTGACAGGTCCCAAGCCAGGATCATGAATACAAGGACTTTGCAATAACAATGTGCCTATTAGGGCTATGCCCGATACAACAAAGTATGGTCAATCATAATGACTTGGAATTATATGATATGTTGATACATAAATGTGAGTGTCAACATTTACTTGTATACATATTTTCTCTTCGAGGATTTTGTCTGTCCCAGATGTGACTCTGACTTCATTGAGGAGGTGTCAGAAGACTCCAGGTACAGCTCGGTCTTGATGTATACATTCACTGTTCTTAAAGTTGACTGCTTGATAAAAAGGTTTTGAATCATGTTACCAAGTATTAAAATGCATGATGGTCACTGTAGTTAGTGCCAGTGCCAGTCATTTTTGCATCACTGATTTTAAAATGTATTATTATTTTGCTGTTTAGTCTCCTGCAGAACAGTTCACCAGTGTCCAGTGAAGACTCAAACTCGTTGTTTTCAGAGGTATGTCCTCACATATTTCACTTACTTAGCATGGACACTCCTCTTTCTCTAAGGCTTTGTGTGACACATTTCTTGGCTCTGTTCCTCCAAGTTATGGCAGCTGCTGTTCATGGAGCGGTCTGCTCTGCTGTCCAATCCGCCCTCCTCAGAGTCGGACCCAGATGACAGCGAGCAGGTATCGTCGGGTCAGAGCTGTCCCTCCCCAGTGATGCCAATCGCTGCTGAGGCCGCAGAACCAGAGTCTCCCTCCCCATCTGAAGAGGAGAGGTCGCCCAGGCCAGACCAAAGGCCAGCAGTGGAAGGGTGTGTGGACACGGTATACAGAAAAAACACCATGTGCTGAACTCTGACTTTTTAAAAATCTTCAAGTATGCTTTTACGTTTGACAGTTATTTCTCCCTTTTGATGTCTTGATTACATAAAAGGTGAGATGTAGAATGTCACTGTGGTTTGGCACATCTATTCATTCAGACATTTTTTATTAAAATCAAAGTCAAAGTCAACTTTATTGTCAATCCTCTGTGTTAACAAATAAATCAGAGCACCTGAAGGTTTTATACAATTTCCAGACAGTTTTTCATTGTGTACAGATCCTCATATAATTGCTTCGCTTCAAAAAGTGATCAAACACTTTAATAGGCTCCAATACTTTATCTATAACATTAGACCGAGGAGAACAGCTGCATGCATCCTGGGTAAATCATAAAGGCGTGGCGTGAATTGAAGCTGAATAAAATATGTGTTGTGAAAGCAACCCAAAGCAAACATCTGCTTTCTGTTTGTGCCCTTTCAAGGATTGTGCAACAGTTCTTGACCGGCCTTTTTTCCAACAACGGAAACCCCGGTGCTGCACCAGCTGCCCTGTAAATGCTTTTAACATTTTCGATTCACATCATTTAATTTGGATTTTCTCTAACATTGTGTGATAACCTCTCTCCCTCCCCCTTCTCTCTTGATCTCCTTATGCTTGTCTCTTTAGATCTAGTATGCTACAGTTGCACTCAAACCCTGGAGATTATGCGTGGGGTCAAGGAGGTCTTGACGCTGTCATAACAGAGGTCAGTCATATTAGGGGAAGGGATTTCTAAGGTTTTTGTTCAGTTCAAGCATGGTTCCCTTCTTTTACTCCTTCCCTCTCCATTAACCTTTTAACATGAAACACAAACCCCTCAAATTCTGTAACCATCAAGATACAAATTGTTCTTTTTTTTATCCGACTCATTTGTGTGGACTCTGTTTCCCCTCTCTGCCCCTCATGTCTCCTCGTATATATCCATTCTCTTTGTTTCTTCTCCCACTCACCTAGTTGTTGGGACAGTTGGAGAGCACAGGTCCGCCCCCTGCAGAAAAGGAGATGATCTCATCACTGCCGACAGTTTGCATCTCTCAAGAACAGACAGGTAGCAAACCTAGCACGGCATACTGCACACCTCTCTTTCCTTCTCATATATTTTTTCCCTCATTCCTCTCATCTGTTTTTCTATCTAATTTTCTCCTCCTTTCTTCCCCTATCTCTTCTTGCCTTACCTTTGTTTCCTCATATAATTAATTTCCCTTGATATCTTTCCTTCGCTTGTTTCCCCTCTAATCTGTCCTCTCTTGTCCATCTTGTCAATTGCCTCTTTGCCCCCTCCTGTCTCTCATTTCCTTCACTTCTTTTCCCGACCCTTCTATTTGTCCTTCCCACCTCTACTTCTTTCCTCCCACCATTTGTTTCCTCTTCCCAACTCTTCTTACTTCCTCTATCTTTTCATTTCTTTCCTTTCCTTCCATCCTCCTTCCATTTCCTTACCTCCTATCCTTTGTTTCCTTCATCTTTTTTCTTTATCTCTTCCCATTCCTAGTTAATAATGTTAACAATGTTTTACTGTCCTGGATGCTCAATTAGACTAAATTATATTAATAATATAGCTTCACTTATTCAAATAATCAAGTTGGAAGTACATTTAAATGAAAAAAGAAACAGAAATATAAAGAAAAGTAATATAAATATGGCAGGTAGAGCGTAATCAAGTTTTATATAGTCCGGCACTTTTTCATGTTGTGTTGTGCTAATTTGTGTGTTTTTGTAGAACTGTTTGAGCTTCTAAATATGTATTCAAACATCATCAAACGTTGTTACAGAGAAATTACAATTAAAAATTATAGCAAATACAGGCCTGTCTTGCACATTTGAGTAGTTATGAAGCATCCCAAAAACATTGACTGGGTTTTTTGTTTCTACTCTCTATGTGTTTCTGTTTTTCTTGCACACTCTCATACATTCTGTTTCTGTTTTTTTCTCCCAGACTGCAGACTGGAGTGTCCAGTTTGTAGGGAGGAGTATACATCAGGGGAGTCTGTCAGGAAGCTTCCCTGCCTCCATTTCTTCCACAGTGAATGTATAGTGCCTTGGCTCGAGCTGGTAAGGGCGATGAGTGGATGTGGTCAGTGGGGGTTTGAAGCCTGGTTAGATTTGCCATGGAGGTTTTAAGAGTGTGTCACACATCCTGACTTCAGTGCTGGGATGACAACACAGAAGCATTTTTGTTACCAAAGGATTTCTCTGGTCTGACTTTTGCTTATATGTTCTTTCCTCTCCCTCTCACAGCATGATACCTGCCCAGTGTGCAGAAAAAGCCTTGACGGTGTCGACAACAGCCTCCCCCCCACATCAGAACCCCCAGAAGCACGCTCCATCAGGACGGAGCAACAAGAGAAGCAGGCCATCTGAGAAATGGGCCAAGCTAATATTTACTTCATTTGATGTTTTCAAGAGACCTATTTTCAACTGAGACCTTTCCCAGCAAACCGACTGCCTTTAAATTAAAAAATCAAATGCAACACAGTCATTACTTGTAGCTTCCACTTTCACTTCAATCATCTCTGCTAAGGGATTTGATGTTTTCTACTTCACATTTTTTTGGACTTCACACAAACGATACGTGCAGTGTGCAGGTGTGGAGATGATGTGTCCTTCTCTACACTGGCTCAAGATTCAAGATATTTATTGTCATATGCACAGTAAATACACAGTTACACCATACAATGAAAATCTTACTTTGCTAGTTCACCCTACGCAAGTAAAATACAGGAATATAAAAATAAATAAATACTTAGAAAAAAACAATAGGCACATACGTAGCAGCAGTTTAAAATATATTTAAATAGTATATAAATAGTTGTATTGCACATGGTTCACTGCACGGCAGACAACAAGTGCACTATGCATTGTTAAGGTAGTGCAAATGGTGAGTGTCAGTGTGTCTGTGTAGCACTCACAGTGCAATCAGTGTGTGTGTGTTTTTGTGGGGGGGGGCGGGGGTTAGAATTGGCTTCGATCAGCCTGATGGCCTTGTGGGTAGAAACTGTTTGTCAGTCTCGTGGTCCTGGATTTCAGACTCCTGTAGCACCTGCCTGATGGCAGGAGAGTAAAGAGTCTGTGCTGGGGGTGTGTATGTCCCTGATGATGTTGTGTGCTCTCCTGTTGACCCTGGTGGTGTAAATGTCCTGAAGTGAGGGGAAGGCTTCCTGTCCCAAGCAGTGCAGTTTCCTGATTTTCAGACCATCTATTTCTATTGTTTATTTATGTTTTGAATAAAAAGGCAGGCAAAAAAAAGATTAAGTATTTCCCTGTTACTTTTAAGTAATTGAATGTGTTAAAAGAATTGTATTGTATTGAATTGTAATTGTTTTGATTGTAAAATACTTTTAATTTATTGTGCACTGTCAAGAGTGGACAACATACAGTATCTGCCTCGGAATTTTTCATCATTAGAGATGTGCACCATTAGAGTTGTGGTTTTATGAATTACTTTTAAATAATGAACTAAACACAGCTGAGCTGCCAGATGTCAAAATTATGAAAATAGTTATCAAGTGACACTTTTTCATCAAGGCCCTTTGGATGAGTTCTTGCTTAAATTATGCAGGTTATTTTATTTTTCCACCCATTTTGATTCAGTGTTGATCTACTTTCTATATTCATATTTCTATAGAATTCTGTGATTTCCACCCCCTGCACTTTCTTTTTTTTCACGTTGTCCACTCTTGAGAGTGCACAATAAAATAAAGGTATTTTACAATCAAAACACAACTCTTTTAACACATTCAATTACTTAAATGTAGCAGGGAAAATATGTAATATTTTTTTTGCCTGCCTTTTTACTCAAAACATAAATAAACAATAGAAATAGATGGTCTGACAATCAGAATTACTTCAATTAACTTACAGTAACATGAGGAAATAAAAAGTAGAACCAAGAACCATGCACAATAAACCACAATCAACTATAGTGAAACAGATACCAGCTCCTTCATAAAGTTTAATTATTCTTTCTTATGTTTTCTGGAACGGAAACATATTTGCAGAACTGTTTAAATTGAATGTAGAAAATTCAAAAATGTCACTCATCCCACAGAAATACACACCTGCCTTAAAGTGGTCTGTTCATACTTTTATGGTCCTCGTCCTCTGAACTAAAAACCAACACGGTTACTGACTGGCAGCTTTTTGCCCTGTAAATAACTATTGTCTGTAACTATATAGAATCCTAGGGTTTCAACAGCCCTGACCTAATACACAGTATGATACTGTGTTCTCTTAAATCAGCTTTATCAACAAGTCATAGCCATAATACAGACTTATATCTGTGTACTGACCAATTTGGATGATTAATAAAGTCATTTAAATAAGCTAAATTATGAACACAGCTCTGGATTTGGTAGTTTTCTTTGATTTGTATGATAATACATTTTACTTTTTGACAGTCAACTAAACAAAAGTTTAAAAGTTGAAGTCGTTGGTCAATTGTCATGGGCATTTCTTTTCTTCTTCTTTTTTTTTACCACATTCTCACATTTCATAATCTTATCAATAAGTCTGAAAAAACCACCGCACGAAAACTATTGATCATTTTCAGTTATAATTGTTTCTATTTTGTGACTTATTAATGATTAAAGCTTGTTTATAAATAAGAAAAAAAATGGGAAATGCACATATCCCAAAACCACAAATTGAAACATTTAGCCTACACATACAACGATATGTAGGCCTATAACATATTATATAACCTGATCGATTAGTTGATTGATAATTTCAGCCCGACAGAACAGAACAACTAACATCCTTCTGGAGCTGATTTATTTATAGGCTGAAGTGCTCCCTCCTGTCTGTATGTACTACATACAACATTATATTGACATTCGGCGCCGCCACTTTGACAGTTGACTGTTGCATTCCAGCAATTGGGCCAAAACACAGCGCTCCGTGCAACCAACAAAAAAGTGAACTAATCATAAAAACAGACATTTTTTGTCAATGACCAGGGACCGCAGCAACCGCGAACGACGACCGACATTTGCTCTCTTCTCCTCCCCTCCGCCCGTCCTCCTCCTCCCTGACTCCCTCCCTCCCTCCTCTCCGGGACTGAGAATGCCCGTGTTGTACTGACACAGTAGCGATACGGGCTGAGTAGACATGGAGGCCCGATTAACGAGAGAGGCCCGTGCTGACACATCCAGGCCCAGCTAACGGTGTGTCGGACAGGATTTTGGAGCATCTCGGGAGTTTATAACGGATACCAGTCGCTGTAAGGAACAAGGATTTTAACAACGAGGACGAAGGAATAGAAGATCCATTTCGGTTCTCTGTTGATTCAACGCAAGCCGCCATTTTGTTGACAGTTAGTGTTTTTTTTAATAACCTACACTGCGCTGCATCTATTATTTTCTAATCACTGGAATTTAACTCCCCGCATTTTTTACGTGTGGTTTTCTATCGATTTAAGTGTGCGTTTGTGTTTGAATACACGTCTTGAGGTTTTTCTGTCTTAGCTGACATGCTAGTGCATCGTTAGCCGTCGTAGCTGGGATGTAGTAACACGAGTGCCTACGAGAATGTGACGGAGATGAGAGATTATGTGCATCACTTGTCCGGGGCTGTGTCATATTCACTCGCTATACACTAATTGCTTGAATGCTGTAGGCGTTTGCTACTGATTTGCAGTTTACACACAGTGTAAATTAAAGCTGTGCTGGGCGGAATATGCCTAAATCGTCTTCAAACAGGCTGCTGATAGATGGCTAGTTAGCCGCTGCCAGTGCACAGACTGTCTATTATTGGACGGATTGTAGCTACTAGCTTGTTACAAAATAAACACAAACCTTGCACAATGTACGGGTTATAATTAGCGCCGAGTAACCACGATATCCTCATTACGTCACCGCCCTGTCTGCTATTATCTTTAATATCATGGAAATTAATATGTTGGGGGGATGCTTTACATGGTGACACTCAGTTTAACACATCGCAACTTTGGGTTTTGGAGGTGGCAAGGTTAACAATATCTCTTTTTTGTTTGTGGCCAACCGCTCTGTGCTTTGATTTCTGATTTGATTTGTGGCTGTGTTCAAGATTATTATCTTGTTATAACCTATTTGGCACGTTTAAAAAGACAAAACGTGCTGTGTTTTTCTAGCTTGAATACTTGGGACAAAATACTCTCCTCAGGTTAGCTTTAGCTCATGGTGCTTGCATTAGATATATTGCATTGATCATAGCTCAAATCTGACGTTTTTCATGTTTTGGTTTTTGGCAATTCAGCTCTTGGAAGATAAAATATGTGGCCCCCACGTTGATACACGCGAAGGGAGGACACAGAGCCAAATAATGTGAACACCGTTTCCGGACAATTACAAAGGTGAGTGAAAATCATCTGGCATATGAATAGACATGCTGATTTATAGTTTACTGTTGATATAATGGTTTAAGAATCAGATTGCTCACTGTTAGAGTTAACATTCCCTTCATCCGATTTTAATGTTTAAGCACAAGTTAATTAATTCCCAACTGCATGCATTGCAGTGTCACCTTAACGGCTTGCAGAGTCTCTGAGGCCGGATTTCCTTTCGATTGACAGTAATTATGCGTATGACTAAACGGGAATGGATGTGCTGAGTGAATATGAGTACATTAAGGGGGATGCGGTCGCACATTCGCGAGTGTTGACTGTACAGGAAACCGAAAGCAGATTTGGCTTGTGCAGCCCTCCTCAGGACAGCCACGTTTTCTGCGCAACATGAGGGAAAGTCTAATTAATTACAATGTTATGTAGAGTATTCGTAAGGACTAAATAACTGAAGGAACTTCATCCAACTTGCAGGGTGTTGCTCTGATTGACACCTGTCACTCCGGTCCGATTTATTGCATCCTCTACTGCAATATTCGAGGTTTACACATCTTTCGTTTAAAGCCACGGTGTGATGGATTTATGTTAGAGCACATCCGCTGTTAGGATATAAACTAATGTTACTAGTTAAGAAATGTGGCTGTTTTCCCCCCTGATCATGGATCTGTATCGGTTTTATACAGATGGAGTAAAAGCCCTGGATATGACACGGAGCTCTGAGGGCAGACGCCAGTCCTCATGTTGATGATGTGGGGGGTGGGTGGTGTTGGATACTATTGCCATGGCCAAAGGGAAATCAGCAGTTATGAACAACGTGTGCAAAAGTGAGGGAGGGAGTGAAAGGAGGGAGGGAGTAAGGGGAGGAAAGAAATGCGAGGGGGCGCGGGAAGTTGTTTACTACGTTCCTGCCTGCTCTGCTATTTCTTAAGGTTGAGGGCCTGATATTGATTATTGATTCTCCTGTTTTTCATTTTAATTTCTGACTTTTGTTTTATATGCCAGTCGTTTTACTTAAACTTCTGGTTATTGCTGTGAAGGTAAAGCAGACAACATACAGGCATGACTGATTTCTGTCTTTAAAACCAGTAGTTCTGTCATTCGGGTGTTTTTCGGTATGACTATAAAGTTGATATGCCTGCAGTGTAGTATTAACTTCTACTTAAATACTATACCGCCCAAACATGATAATGATATGCTTCAGTGTTACGGCTTATCAATCTCAAATTAGAAAACGGTTCAGCCCACTGTCATTTACAGGAGAACAACTGCCAGTAAATATATCTGGTTTGGCTTGTTAGAGGTGAGAGGAATGTTTTTACTCCCCCGGGCGACTATTCTCTAGACTTGTGTCAGTAGCCTCTTATAGAGTAAGGTACTACAGTGGCTTATTTTTGGCATAGCTGCTGTCAGGCAGCGGAAGCAGCTAGTATCACTGCAAGCGCTTAGTATAAAAGGAGAGAGAGGAGAGCATTTGTCTTTCTGTTGGAGAAAGACACCGGGAACAGAGTTAGGGGGGTTGGTGAGTGAAATGTGTTTTTTATTAAAGAAAGAGCACAGTGACTTTGTTAGTTTGTGCGCTGCTACTACTGCTTTCAAGTTTGCAAAATAAAGAAGGAAGAGGACCGAAAAGCATAAAGAAAACTGTGAAAGGACACAGAGATTGATGGAGTGTTAGAGAAAAGAGGGAGGTGTGATCTGAGTGTGGTATGTGTAGTGAGGGGGAGTCTGCACAGTTTTGAGGCGAAATGGAGTGAGTAATTGAAGTAAACACAGAAAAGAGGGCGTGGGGGGGAAATACAGGCCAGTCTCCAAAAATCTGGTAGAGTTAACTGTGTTAACTGTGTGGTCCAACTACTGTTTTCCACTATCATCATCTAAAACAAACATTGTCTAAGACTCTTTGTAGGGCAGTTTTTTTTGTCTTCTGGTCTGACACTTTAGTGATGTGTCGACTTGTATGACTTTCCTTTGGCTCCATTAAGTGGCTCCTTTAGTGCTCTCCACTAATGTAGGGCGCAGAGAAACCGCCGGCACATTGACGCTCTATCACTCACTCTCAGTTGCTGCTGGCGAGGGCTGGGAAAGGCGGCCGGATCCTCTGTCTAGTCCCAGAGGGCTCAATGTGCTGAGGTCACAGTTCTGAATTGCCTCCAAATGACTTCACCCGGAGAAAGCACCTGCTTGGGGGCGAATCCGCATTAAATCACTCAGTGGCCACGGGGAGCTGGAGACAACTTCATTGAA